AGGAATGCCTGTTGATGAGTGGAGTTCCAGTGAAACACTGGAAGGGGGGCCCAGATAGCGTGTAGCCTTCACCCTTAGATATTTTCAGAACTTGGCTGTACGAGGCCCTGAGCCACCTGATACATGTTTGATGTGGACTGTCTTTGGAGCAGGAGCTTTGACTAGGTGGCCTCCAGAGGAGGTCCCTTCAACCTAAACTTCTCTGTAATTTTGAGGGTTCTCTCTTCTTGCCCATTACTCCCACAGGTGTGTTTCAGTGATGTCATCTTTGGGTCTCTCTCAGCCTTCTAATGTGTAACTGTACCAAAATACAAATGTTTCAGATTCCATTAAGAAGTTTTACGTCTGCCTGTGACCTAGTGCCGGTGATAGAGTTGTCTTTATCCATGTTCGTGAATTTTTTTTTTTCTTAATAAATGCTCTTGCTTCTAGATATATGTTGTTACTGAGCTATTAGTACCTGAGAAAAAACATGCTCAGTGCTACAGGTTTTAATTGAGATTGAGGCCTTCTCCCATGTAAGTTCATGTTTGTTTATTCTAAAGCTATTTTTTTTGGCTATATGCCTGCTTTTCTTGGAGCAACACTGTGCTCGGGTCCTTTGTATCTGTGGTTAGCAATAGGATACCATATACGAGGAGGTTAAAAAGTGCCCTGGATTCTGTTTTTCATCATAGCAAAAAATAATTTTGTTATACTGCTTTACAGTTAGTTGGAGTGGGCGAAATACTTGGACATGCTTGCGTGTGTCACCTGTAGCACTGAATAAACTTGAAGGATGTTTATGCTGCCCTTGAGGAACGTAAGGAGATGTTTTTGTGAGAACGGCAAAAAGGTTAGATTCTGTAGTGATGCCATTCACGGAAGTACCCGAGTGTGCACTACTGAACTTTAACCTTCGATTTTAGTGCTACGTGTGCTAGCACAAGCATTAAGTCCTTGTATCGCCACCACAGCATCCCATGGTATTGCCAACAGTGTTCTCTGGGCGTTGGCTTTTCAACAGCTTTGCTTGGCCTTGTCAATGAAGTTGATGTAAAGTGGATGAGACAGAACCTCCTTATCAGGTAAAGGTAGGAGCAGTCTGGTGCTGTTTGATCCATAGTGCAGCTTTTAAAGCCCTTGGTTCATTTTTCATGCATTCATATGCTTAAAACTGGAGGAAGGGTAGATAGGGGATCAGCATGTCTCACTGCGTTTCTGTGACTTGATACAGTGAGTCCTACTCTTCATGTTTCCGTCACCTCTATTTCAGCACAAAAGCAGCTATTTAAAAGAAATGGTGAAAGGCTTTCCCCTGGGTAGTCACTTCTGTCAGCAGATTGGAGCTCTTGGATTATAAACCAAGGAACTATTATTTTGAACATTTGCACCTTGCAAAGATGGAGATGCCAGTTCTTTTGCTTCTATAAAAAAGGTTTATGATACTCTCTTCCCCCCTAAGTGACCTGCTTTTACTTGAAGTTTTGTCAGCTGTTTTTTTTCCTTTGCGCACTTTCATGTTGGCAAGTTGATGAGAAGGAGATGAAATATTTTCCATCCCTGTTGGTATTGACCTTATTTTTGCTTGGCTTTGCTTTACTTGATTTTTATTCTTTCTTTCTTTATAGATATTGGCACAAATTTATAGCAATGGGTCATGCAGGATAGTGTGTTTAGAGCGGGAAGTGTTTGTGCTTTGGGGCTTTTGTTTTCTTTGAAGAAAAGATGACTTCATGTGTTTGTAACATATATCGGTTCTTTTGGCTGGTTTTTGTGATTACTTGTTTTTAAGAATCTTTTGTATGATTTACATTATTTTGCTTTTTGCAGGGTTTTTTTTTTAATTGTAAGGGGAACATCTTCCACAGAACTGAGTGTTGTAATTAATTGAGGCAACTTTGTGGGTATTTGAAGCAGATCAACAGCACTTAAACTTGTATGAAAGTATAAATGGTGCAGTGGGAAATACGGTTCTCTTCTGTTAGAGAATTTTGTTGCAAAGAGTCATTTTGTGGCTTTTAAGTTAGGAAAAAAAATGAGGGAGGGGAAATCTGAGCTACAAAATAAATCTAGGAATGAGATTAATGAGGCACTTGTAGAGGGAGAGTTATTAGGTAAACGCTTGGTCTTTGTCATCAACTGTAATTTATCAGACACCCTGTAAGGAAATGGTGCCATAATATTGCTAAAAAGTTCTTTTCCCCCCTCTTCTTCTTCCTCAGACTGTCTGTGTAGAAAAAAATGAGACCTTAGGTGGAACCTGTTTGAATGTTGGATGTATTCCATCCAAGGTAAGTGTACATAGTTTGTCATAACTTCATTAAAAACAATGGATTCTATATATATCACTTGAAAAACTCCTCCTTAATCTTTTTCCAGGATTGATGTACTTTCTTTAAAAATTGAAATTGCAATCCAAATAAGCTCAGGATCCAAATAAATAACACAAAGGGTTAAAATTTTATTTGCTCAACAGAAATGTTTTGTTTGCAAACTCTGTTTTGTGGGCTTTCCCAAAAGAAAGAGGGGAAGAGAATGAAAACCAAAGGTGCGTATACAGATTCTTCTCACTTTGATGAGCTGCTGAGTCTGTGTTGTAACCAATAACTGACTATAGTGTTAACTGTTTCAGATGGTTGTACCTCTTGTAGTCTACTGTGTGAAGTTCTTGATTGCCTCATATCAGTTTGTTCAAAATAAACCTGTAGTTTTGTCCAAGATGATGTTCTTACATTAAAGAAACGCTGAACTGTGTCACCAGGTGTAGAGAAAGTGAATCTAAATTAGAGGGAGAGGGACACGCCTGAAAAATCATGGACTCTGGTTTTGGTTGGATGCACCATGCTCTGAAGATAGCAGTCTCTCTCCATTGACTGTAGAAAAAGCCTAGCTTATTAGCTCTTGAAATACTAGTCTAAGCTAAAATAGTATTCTTACCAGCCCCACAGGATGGCCTGGAGAGTGGGGCTGGTAGTGCTTGTGGGGAGAGAAAAGGGAGAGTACAAGGCATGTGCTCTGAAAGAAAGGAGAAGTAAGAAGACATTCAGAAGAACCTAGTACTTGATGTTGTCAGTCCAGTTTTAAGTAATTTCAGAACTAGGGCCTTGTAAGAACAGTGCTATTGCTAGATAGCCTTGTTAGTGTAAGCTATCTAGCTGGGTGCTAATGAGCCTGCCTCAGGGAAGACACTGGTAATGCCAGGTTTGTAAGGGCTGTAGTAACAGACATAATTTTCTTACCAAGATTCCTCCTAACTATATTGCTATTTTTTAACCTGTTTGCTCAGAGAGGTTCCATTAGCATGGTAGGAGAAAATACAGTATAAATACAAAGTTTCTTAAATTATATATAAATTTATATCTTAATTTTCCTAAACATTTTACTGATAGTTCTAAGTTCAGAATATCTTAATATACTGAGGAAAAACTCAAAAGTGAGGTGTAGATCAACACAGTGTTACTCTGAAAGTTTGGAATTCTGCTAGGATCTATTTAACTTTTCTTCTTGAGTCCTTTTTTTTTTTTTCCTTCCTTTTGAAGTTCTTAAGAAGATACTTCTGAACCCATGGCTAAACCTGGATGCTATTCAGAATTTTTTTGAGTGGCAATAAATTTCTTAAGAAGTGGGTATGTAGGCTGCATACACTGAGGCAATAATAAATGATGTGAAAATTCCTTTCCAAAAAAGCCACCCAAAATAATACATTGGGCATGGATTTTTTTCCTTTTTTGATTGCTGAAGTCTTAAACAGTGGCTGTGTCTTCAGTAATGTTGGATGTTACAGATTCAGCATGTGACAGTTACGTGAAATGGGCAAATGAATTTTAAAGAGTGAGAGTGGATAAGACTAATAAAAATGGAATTATCTTATTCTGACAGTTAGTTTGACTCAAGCATGTGTATATAAGGCAGGCATCTCAAAATGTGCTTTGAATGTTTTGCTGTGCCTGCTTTCAGTCTGTGCAGACTTGCACTGTTGTCCTTGAAAAGATATTGATAATTTCATGTTTGGGATGGCTATAGTGAAAGACACCATTTTTCTTACCGAGATCCCCCCCCAACTATATTGCTATTTCTAATTGAAATACAGTTCTAGAAATTCTGCGTTTCAAACTGCTGACTTAGAAACATTATAAAAACTATTCTAACTTTTAATTTTGAATTCTCAATGGCCAGTGACCTGAGCTACCTCTAAGCCCTCTTATCTTTAGCTCACCTAGCTATGCAGTTGTAACTTTAGCACACCTCCTCAACTACAAAATTCAACTTGTGTATGTCTACATGGGCTAAAATTTTAACAGGGATTTCAGTATGGATTTTCCTCATCCAGTTTTTCTGTATTCTGTTTTTGTTGACAAGTAATCTTTTGTCTGAGGTAATAAGGAAATTCTCCTGTGAGTCAGTCCTCTAAGTCTGTTTCTATTTTTTTTTTTTTTTTTTTAATCCTTATGGAGTTGGTTTTTTTAGAGATTAACATATAGGGTATAATTTCTTCATGCAAACCAGGCTAAAGATAAAAACAAGTTAGACATTAATCTCCAAACTGTTAGTAAACTTGCTACTTCAGCTAAACAAAGCTAAATAAGCTCAAGTCTACAAGTCCAGGCAAGCTCTGATGAATCCTTGTATTGCTAAACTAGCTCAAGGCTTCTGGCCTTCTGATAGAAATAGCAACTGGAAATGTAATACGCAATCCTTATGGAGTCATTCCCAATTTCTCTGGTGAAATGAGCAAAAAGGATGGGTGTGAATTTAACTATTTTCTGGTTTTATGTTAACTATGTAACTTTATAGAACACTTCAGTAAGAGCTACTGTGTACAATTTCTATGTTTGAAATACACCTTTTTAAATACATACATGTCAGACTTTTTCTTAATAGGGAAAATGTTTTGCAAATAACATCAGATTTTTTTTCCTGATAATGTAATTAATTAAATTGTGAATGTATGTCCCAATTCACATTTCTGTGTGTGTATTTTAGGCCTTGCTGAACAACTCGCATCTGTATCACTTGGCCCATGGAAAAGATTTTGCTAATAGAGGAATCGAAAGTGAGTGTGAAGAGCAACAAGTCAGTGTCTGTTAACATAAATGGTTTCCATCAACAAACAATTTTAATAATTCAAATCTGACTACTATAGTTTTCTGGTCAGAAAACTTTTTAGACTTATAAATAATATCCTTTATCTGTCAGTTGGAGGGTTAGGGACGTCTGTCTGCTCCTTGAATCCTGGATAGGTTAAGTTTTGTTTGAGAAGTGTAATGCTGCTTTTTCACATAGCAGTTGTTGAATGTAACCTTCAGTGTTCAGTAGGGCCATTCAACACATCTCAATGTGTCAGAGCTGTTAATTGTGTTTAGGTTAGCTCCTTCAACACTGCCATGCTTGATAGGAGGGTGTTTTTAACCTCAGTTACAGGAATCCGCTTGAATCTGGAGAAGATGATGGAACAGAAGAGTGGTGCAGTGAAGGCCTTAACAGGTGGAATTGCTCATTTATTTAAACAAAACAAGGTTAGTTTGCATTATATACTGAGGTATATCTGAATTATTTTTTTCTGATCTGTATTTCTTGCTTTTTACTTTTATATTCTTGCCACATAAATTAATTTGACTGACTGACACAGCAAGGGCAGATTTTGAATGCTTCTCTTCCAGGAATTTTTTAAATGAACAGTTCCTTCATTCTTAATCTACTTAAAAGAACAGTATACACTTACTTTATGATTTGTACCAGATGGTGAGGCAAAGGCATGTGTTAGCAGCTTCTCTAAAGCATTAGTAAGATTCAGATTATATGTAGCATAATTTATATAAGTAATTTGAATCTGACTTTACTGTGTTCTGATTACTAAAGGTTGTACATGTATCTGGGTTTGGAAAAATAACTGGCAAAACCCAAGTCACTGCAACCAAAGAAGATGGCAGCACACAAGTTATCAATACAAAGAACATACTTATAGCCACAGGCTCAGAAGTTGCTCCCTTCCCTGGAATTACTGTACGTATTTGGAATCTTAATGGTACTGTTTTTCAATGTGTAATATCCACATAATTTAATGTGCAATCATGTTTTTACATCTGATTGCGCTTCACCTTCTATGTGCTTTATAATAATGTATGAAACAGATTTTAAACCTCCCTTTGTGGATTTCTTTGTCATTAGATTGATGAAGATAATATTGTGTCATCCACTGGCGCACTGTCACTGAAAAAAGTTCCTGAAAAGATGGTCGTCATTGGCGCAGGAGTCATTGGTGTAGAACTGGTGAGAGGATATTTAAACTGCTTTGTCTTTCATTTATAAATAAACAGGGTGTTATTTTTGTGTTATATTTGATCTTGTTGCTGTGATTTAACAGATGTTCGGTTGAGTGAGTGGTGATGAAACTGTTCAGACTTCATGGACCTTTTCTACCAGAAAAGCTGGGATGAGTTTATGTAGGATTGGTACTCCTGCAGCTGCTTAGCAGGCAGAGAAATGAGAGGGGAACAATGAGAGGGTTTTGGGGTGGGGAGGTTAACTTTTGCTGAGGTTTGTATCTGCTCTATGTATAGATGAGAGAACTTCCTTTTTTAAGGGAAGTTTATTTTAAGCCAGGATAAATTCTTGTGTGTAGCAGTCAATCCCAAGAAATTTTCATGTGATATGATGGTACACATGCTGTCTCGCAACCAAAGGAGCAGAGACTTTGTAGTTCATCTTGGTCTGAGTCCTTTTGCCTCATACGTACATGATTAAGAAAAAAACGTATATTTGCTGGTCTTGCAACTGCTTCAAAATGTGCACATCTGCTTAGTGGTTGCTTAGCCTGCTGACTATTAAGCA